CGCGTGTGGCACTGTGTTACCCACACAGGAAGCGTATCCGACGTCTTCCTCTTCAGTTAAGGTCTGGGCGACCGTGAGTGGAACTCTGCTACCCACTCTGAACACGCTGTTCTCAGTGTTCGTGACAGCCGCAGCTGTCTGCGGAACTAAGTTACCCGCCTGTGGACCTAAGTTACCCACTTGGCCAGCGCCTCGTCTAGGCGTTGCCACCATAAAAACATCTTCGGAGTCGTCATATACGTCGACGACTCCCAAGCACCTGCCAAATGCTTTGGTACCCTGGCAGCCCTTGCGGGTGCCCCGGGTCCTGACAGAGGTGGGAATATGAGTCACCAATGCTCTGTCGGACTGCGCAGGGCGGCTGGCACCGATTGCCTTGCCTCGCCAGTAGATCCAGGGCTCGTGCTTCTCAAGCCAGGGAATGCTCAGGATCATATCATATGGATTCATAATGAGAACAGTGAACTGTTCGAGGCTGTCAAAGTCTTCAAACTTGACGGCCAGATCCACTTGGACGTTGGGGACAGTGACGACCTTCCCGTCGGCCAGTCGCACTGACACCGTCCCGTTGCCCTTGCTGTCTCTCAAAGCATCGGACAACTTGTTGTTGTTGCGAGCAGCCGTCTGGCGGCGTGCGAAATTCTTCGACGCCCCAGAGTCAATCAAGATTCTAAAGGGATGATCGTATCCCCGTACACATCCGTGTGCTACGAGCAACCCGCCGCTGCTCTTCGCCGATTCGAGAGTGCGAAGACTCTCAGGGGCTAAGTCCCCGTGGTACGCGCCACCCGCGCACCCATCACGAAGACTTATTTTCTTTCCCAGTAGGGCGCCCCGCCCCTACTGGTTCCCAGCGTTCCCCTGTCCCCGGAATCCTGGCTTCTGCCAGCGACCCTTGAGGACGGGCTTGGGGAAGGACCGTCTGCGGAGTCTTCCGCAGGACAGTCGCGCTTGAAGTGGTACATCTTCCCGCAGCCGAAGCAGCGGATGTCACGCTGTTCGGCAGACCCGAGCTCCATGGGAACTGGTCCGTTGGGGCTTGTTCGGCCGGGAGCCGGCAAGGAACTCCCAGGCCATGCTGAGGCCGGCGTACCCGCCTGGCGATGGCTGTACTCTTCTTGAAGAGCCACTTGAATCGCCTCTTCAAGAGTGCTTGACTGCACCCGGAACAGCTGAGTGCGTGCGGGGCCCACTCGAAGGCCGTCCATGAACACAGTCATCTTGACGTGTTCGTTGAGTGGGTTTCCCACTAGGGACGCCGTGAGCATCCGTATCTCTTGCACATACTCGTGCAGTCGCGCCTCCCTTGCTTACACGAGAGGAAGCGCGAACGCTGGCGGTACTCGTAGCTCGCCGGGAGGAACGCGGCTCGGAGCTGCTCGCACAGCTGAGCCCAGGATGTGAAACATCCAGGGGATGTTGCTTCCCGTGTGTACATTCAACTCTTAGCACGGCCGCTAAGGTTGGAGAGTGCAAAAGCAACACGCAGTTGCTCGGTCGAGATCAGAGCCGCGTCCATCGCGAGCTCTACTTCTCGGACCCAGAAGTGAAGGTTCTTGCCTTCCTTCCCTTCATACGGCTTAGCCTTCAGCCGTATTGGCTTCAGGTGAGGCGAATTTGCTTCCGCCGCCGGAGCCTGCAGGTTCTCCCGCACATGCGCGATGAGGCCCTGCTCGTACGCGTCGAATGCATTGACGCGCTCGAGCTGCTCAGCCGGTGTTGACACCACCAGGCTCTGCAGGGCCTCCATCCCGAAGATGCCTGCCATCTTCCGAACCGACTCGAACTGAGAGTCGTTCATATGAAAAAGTCGTTCCTATCCATGGCAACGAACTTCGGAGAGGTTCAGGTAGTCTACCCGCGGTGGCGTGGATTGACTACTAGTGCTACCAAGTGTGACAAGGTCACACAGCACCTTGCGCTAGAGAAAGTTATCTTCCGAGAGTATACAAACTCTCAGTGAACGGCAGTTCACAGGTCCCCTCTTTATTTAAAGAGAGCGAAGTGACCCAAATAAGGTAGATTGTAAACTGAGTATATTTATAGGTAGGTTAAGCTTGGGTTTAATACAAACTATAAGCTACCTATAGAAATGCAATGTCGTTTGACCGTTGGCTCTGAACGATCTTGGTACCCTGTACCAAATATCCCGGAGTATAACGTGTCATACACCTGAAGTGTGATGTGTCACACTTCATGTAGCCAGGGTACACTTAGGGCTACGTACCCCGTTACAGTACTGTACTGCCCTATTTATCCCGGTCACCAAAGCTTGGACGAACTTTGAGACACAAAGTTACCCCTTTCCCTACATAAAACCCATATCAACATTTAGATATAAGGGGTAAGAACGGGCGTAGATTCCGATTTTGATGTCCGTTTTTACGTATAATTAAGGCTTCCTATTCATTTTAGCCGTTTACAAAGTCATCTTTTTATTGCAGAATTGTTTGCAATTTTGAGACTGCCACGTGCACCAAATCAGCGAGTCTATTGGTCAAATCAAGATAACATGTGGCGATTTAAGTCTGAATAGAAAAGTTACCGCAATTTGGCGATTGTTAATCGGATTATAATCGTGTTATAATAAACTTGCGTATGGAATATACAATCGGTAAAAAACGGGCAAGCGAAAACTCATTCAGAGTCACTTCCTTCGTCATCTTCTGCACACTCACTGTCTTGGTCGTCCCCTTCGTCCTCTGACACAAGATCGTACTGATCAGCTAGCTCCATGTATCTTGTTTCATACTTTTGAGCGTGTGTATACGCTTTAGTCCATGTGCTCGACGTGAGCGACGCAAATCCGTCGATAATTTTGTTTTTCAACTCGTCCATGTTGGACGCCGTGGTAATCATCATCGTGCTTGCGCTTTAAGTTGGACTGCCAAACTTCTTTGGATTCTGGTATCAATTCGCCTACAATTCCATTTCTTTCTCGACGAATGACCCCAGCAGCTACAATACAAAACCTGTACCACATTTATTAGCAAAATTTCATAATAACTATTAATGTTTTTTTTAAACACACTTACCTGGGCCCGCGACCACTTTTGGAGTACCTTACCTTGTCCTTATCAACCCACGACAGTTGGGCCGTGTGGTTGAGATTGCAAAATGTTTCGTCGAGATATACTTCAGGACGTACCGGATATTCTTTTCTGTTGAGGTTGGATATTTTTTCTTTAAATACTGCGTTCGGAACGCCACATTTGCCGTAGATTCTGCCACGATATTGCGTGACTTGCCCTTCACAAAGCGCATCCCCATCCTCCACAAAACACGGCGAAGGGAACGAACAGAAATGTTGATGTTGTGCTCTTCCTTTAGGCGCTTCACTAACTTTGGGGCTGCAACAGGCTTGCCACTTGAGTTCAGTTCAGACACGAGTTCACGTACGAGCGGCTGTATGCTTTCACCGAACGTTCGAGGCCTACCAAATGGTTTTGAACCTTTCATCTGTCATAAATCATATTACGACCAGTGAAATTGTTAAGTATAAATAATAACAGAAACGCCACAAACCACCACTCACCGACGCAAACTTCTGGTCGTGGTTCTTCTCCCAATGGCTCCATATCGCTGAAATCGTGCCCGTCGCGAAGCCCAAACTCTCGTGAACGTGATCCCTTACATCCCCCTTCCACAGCTGTGGCGAAGCAGCCTTTTTCCTCGGATGTATTCGTACGTCTTTACCACCAAATATTTTTCAGCTGCAGTTAATTTCTTACCGGCGACCATTTGCTCAATAATGCTCCGCTGTCGAGCCTATGAAGCTAGGAAATGCATATTTAGACTCAAGGCTGTCGAATGCAGTTTCCTAGAGCTAATTCGAGTGACCGAGTATCGAGAAATACGCATCTATATTTAGGTCACATATATTACTGTTTTCCGTCCAAGCCTTTATGGCCGGGATAATAACAACTCTGCGCAAATCATCACTTCAACAGCATGCAGGTGACATGCTATATCTAGGTTGACCTACATTTTGGATCTGGATGTGAGGCTATATTTAGGGAGAGCCGATACCGGCATCCTCCGCTTTTTACTGACAAGCATGTTTGGGTACAAAACAAGGGTAAAAAAGGTGATGTTTGCCGCGCGTTGTGAATCACGAGAAAGTGCATTGATTATTCGAGCAGCTCGTCAATGGTGTCGTGCTCGTCAGCTACCATGCCGATTTTACCATCTACAAGACTAAAGCTAGCTGAAAGCTGCTGCAAATTTGTCAAGGTCTTCAGGGCTGATTTGGCCCTGACGAGTCTTAGCTCGCATCGAAAGCCTGTGCCGCGCCTTAAAATGTTTCATCCAGGACCACGAAGCTTTAAAATCGGCAACCTCGTACGAATTAGCAACATCTATAGCTTTAAAATGCAACATCACGGAGGGAATAGGTACTTTCTCCCCCCGCAACTCGTTCACCCAGGCTACCAACTCCTCCTCAGCCTCGGCGGTGAGGGCAGTACCTGTGCTGAGCTGCCGAGCTGCCGAGCCTTCTTCTTGGCTCGTCCTCGAGCCGTCTTGCACGCTAATTCGATACTTTGCGCTTATCGCGCTACTGATACAACAGCTTGCGTCGCTGCTCTTGCGCAAACGCATCTAGATCACTATAGAAAGCTACCATAACAGCATTGATGTTGCCGCACTGCCGCCAGGCATCGAGCGCTGCTAGCTTTTCGGCTGCAGTAACAGAGGCGCGGTGGCGCCCCGGTGGCATCTTGAGAAGTGAGTGGCGCACAGCCGATTTATGTTTTCCCGTCCCCATTTTATGTGTTGTCAGTTACGAGTGAGGGACTGCGGTAGCGGTATTTGATTGGCTAAAATCGTTTGTCAGTAATAAGCGACCGTCAGTAAAAGAACGGAGGCCATCACCTCCCGTTGAAAGTTTAGGAAGCCTCCACGTAAATTTCCACTCAGCCAGTCGCACAATTAAATTAAATCAGTACGAAGCGCAACTTTTTCCGGCGAATTTCACTTTTGTTTTTGCAATTGTTTGGTCACTTCTGTTCGCACCTGTGCAATTGAAGGCGTAATGTTCGATGATGCATTCACCGCTGATGCCCCTCTACTGCAGCCCTTTATTCACAACGCCGCCATGCGTCCGCTCCTCCAGTTCGCCGCGTCCAAAGAATTTTCCTCCGTTTCTCCATCCTGTGGCAATAACTTCACGAAAGGCGTCAAGGTCTCGCCCGATGGCTTGTGCATGCTCACCAACAGCGACGACCACCTCCTGCGTCTCTTTGAAGTGAACAACACGTCGGACAGCAGCAGCATATTGCAGGCCAAAGAGGGCGGTGCAGTGTACGACTACGAGTGGTACCCGTTCATGTCGTCAGCGGATCCTAACTCGTGCATCTTCGTAAGCACCAGTCGAGACCAACCCGTGCATCTGTGGGACGCCTACACGGGCGAACTCCGAGCTTCCTATCGAGCTTTCGACCATATGGACGAGCTGGCGAGCGCTCAGAGTCTGGCCTTTAATTCCACAGGCACCAAGCTCTTTGCCGGCTTCGACCGGATGATTCGATTCTTCGATCTTTCGCAGCCCAGTAGGGACTTCAGAGCGAGGCCACTCAGCAAGACTCGACGCTCACGTAAAGGCCAACGGGGACTGATTAGTACGCTGCACTTTAATCCGGACCACTCTAAAATCTATGCTGCTGGGTCGTATGCGGGCACTACGTGTGTGTACACGGAAGATGAAGGAGAAGAGCTACTGGCACTACGTGACCATGACGGACGGGGGATTTCTCAAGTGAGATTTTCTCCATGCGGAAGGTTCCTGTTCACGGCTGCACGACGCGATGCGCGTATCCATTGCTGGGATATTCGTGCTACGAACGAGATTCTCCACACGTTCAACCGAGTGGCGGACACGAACCTGCGAGTGGAATTCGATCTGCACTGTGGCGGCAGATATTTAGCTACGGGTAGTCGAACAGGTCGCGTGATGTTGTATGACGTGCTGACCGGTGCCCTCTTGGATGAAAGTATTAATTTGCCAGACTGTGCGAATGGAGTGTCGTTCTTTCCGGACCCGACGAGAGCAAAGCTAGCAGTTTCCAGTGGTCAGAGGCACTATGGCTTGCCTGATGACATGCAGGAGGAGGATGAGGTCGTCACCAATGGAATGGATGTGGACATGAAGATTGTAGCGAGCTCAAAAGTGCGCAATGTGCTGCAAGTGTTTGACTTCCAAATGCCTCAAAGTGAACAAGTTAAGTAGTAAAACAAGTACACTTGCACTTCGAATTATTTTTTTTAGCATGTGGCAATTAGCGAGTGCGACTCATGCCTCCAAAGCTCTTGTCTTCCCTTTTTTCTCTTTCCTCACCTTGCCGTTTCCTATCGTTATCGCGTCTAGGTTGCGGAGCTGAGGGCTCCAATCTGCCTCTCCATCCAGTGGCACTTGGCTGTGGGGCTTCACTTTCCTCCTCCCTCTGTACTGCCTCCCTCTCTTCTTTAAGTCGCTGTTCCTGCCGCCTCTTCTGTACTTGTTCAAATATATTCTGTTGCTTCTTTTCGATCTTCTTCATCTTTTTAGCAGCTTTCTTTGTCTTCTTCTCCGCTCTCTTTCTCTTTTTTCTCTCCTTGTGCGTCTCCTCGGGAGCTGCAAACACGTCCACACCCTTGTGCAGATCAAAGTCGGACGCTAACTCTTTGCCTTCGTAGGCGTGACCAGGCAGGCCGCGCTGCTTCTTTTCTTCCTCGTCCTCCGAGTCGCTGTCTTCCTGCAGCTCCTTGGGCAGTTTGTATTTAAGCACGTGATCCACACGCAGCACGCGCTCCAGCAGCTTGAAGCCATTCAAATTGTCCACCGCCAGGATGGTACTGCGTTGGTCCTCGAACTTGATGAAGACGAAGCCCTTGGACTTTCCGGTCTTTCCATCGCGCACCAGGTGGATGTCCTCAATCTCGCCAAATTGGCTCAACACGCACAGCACGTCGCCTTCCGACAGCTCAAAGGGCAGGCCACCGACAAAGACCCATGCAGATTCGCTGTACTTCTGGTGCCACGATCCCGATAGAGGCACATTCAGCTCCAGCTCGCGCTCATTTAACCGCTGGATCTCCGCCACCACGTTCATTTCAATTTGTCGAGTTCAACAATCGAAAAATTCGAAGAAATTGCATTTATTCTCGTTGATAGTTTATTTTTAGTTGACGGAAATGGAAGTTGAGGCGAAGGAGAATGCATCAGCTGCGACGCCGTGCGGCTTGAGCTCTGGGGATTCAGCAACGGTTGTAGACGGATGTACGTATTGCGCAGATAATGGACTATTTTCTGGCAATGCGATAACGTCTGAGTCGACTGAGGGGACGCTGCAAACTACGACGAAGGTGGTGTTTCTAACCGTGAACGACGTCTACGAGCTTTTTCCAGACGTTAATGGTGTCGGTGGGATCGCTGAGCTTGCAACCATGCTGAAATCAATTAAGAAAAGAATTGCACACGATGCGCACGTTATTGTTACACTGAACGGCGACTTCTTGTGGCGCTCGGAGCTCGATCGCAAGGACAAAGGGTGCGTCACAAACTTTAATATGGTCACTGGGTGGAGACTAACCGCAGTTTGTTTCAGATCCGTTATGGTTGACATACTAAACAATATTGGCATCAAGTACGCAGTGGTAGGAAACCATGAGTTTGACTTTGGAGCGGAGCATTTGCGCGACCTGCTCGCTGGCGCTAAATTCACGTGCTTCGGATCGAACGTCCGAGCTAGTAGCAGCAGGGAGTTGTATCCTGGTCTGGTAGATACTCACATTATCCCTCTGAGCAATGGGATTAAACTCGGGATGTTTGGTGTGGTGACGACGGTCACTGGGAAGGACCCGTTTGCAGGTCCTAGTGTCGTCTTCGATGACGAGCGACCACATGCGCAGCGATGTGTCGAACACCTTCAGGCTCAAGGAGTCAATGCAATTGTAGCACTCACACATTTCAAGGTAGCGGGTGATATACGGCTTGCAATGCAGGTGCCGGGCATTAATCTCATTCTGGGAGGGCATGACCACTTTCCGGTGACCTGTGTTGCTGGAGTCGACACGCTCATCCACAAGTCAGGAATGGATGCGCTATGGCTGGGCGCTGTGGAGGTGACTTTGACCACACTGACAGCATCTCATAGTCCAGATCAAGTCGCAAATGTTCAAGTGGGTTTTCAATGGCAAATGTTGCTGAATCGCGGATATCACGCCCATCCGGCTTGCCTCGCTATCCTAAACAAGTATATTAGTGATGTGGAGCAGGAAGAGCTGGCAAAAGGAAAGCTCGAGCCATTAGGAACTGCTCTAACCGCCTTGGATGGGCGCCGTATCACGTGCCGTACGCAGGAAAGCAACATGGGAAACCTCGTGGCGGATGCACTGCGAGAAGGACTGGAGGCAGACGTCGGACTCGTGAATGCAGGGTACATTAAAGGTGATAAGCTGAATGACCCTGGGCTTATAATCACGAGGAAATGGCTGGAGAAGTACTTGCCGCTGATGAAGCCAAGTGTGGTCGTGGAAGTGTCCTTGCGAGAGCTGAAGAACGCACTTACCTACTGGTTACGCCGATACCCTGCTATGAGCTCATCGCAGCCTCATTTTTCCGGTATTCGTATCATCTACGACGTCACAAAAGCGACAACTCCAGTTATATCGTCCATTCGGTTATGTAAGGAAAACTACGAAGCTAGAGATGAAGCATCAGCAAGCGCGAGAGGTGAAGAAAGCGAAGAGCAAGAGGAGGAAGAGATGGACCGCTTGGTTAGCGTCGGAGTGCCTTTAGTTAGTAGCTTGGACGGCTGGCATTTCTTCGATAGTGCTCGTCAACTGCGATCGGGCCCACTTGTGCGCGATCTGGTGGAGAAGTTTGTCATTCAACGCCGCCAGGTCGACTATCCTCCGAAAGAAGACCGGCTTCGTGTCATTGAGCCTGCCTTGCCACAGCAGATGGCTCATAAAGCATCAGCGCTGTGAATTCGAACAGTGTACTTCGAAGTACTAAAGCAAGGATTGGCTGCATCGAAGGCAGAATCCGTGGGCCGTCGCGTACTCGTGTGGACTTCTGGCTTTCTGGAATTTAAATCGTGATACGTGCTATGTGTGTGGCACGGAGATCGCATCTTATCACACTGTCGAAGGATAAACTTTCGTTACCTTTTATTTACCTCTGCCCCCAAAACTTTATGAGCACATATCAAGCGCTGACTATCATGTCGACGCCGTCTCCAGTCTATCTCCAAGCATTTTTACGAAGCGATGATCCTTGCCGTGGGTGATCTGCAAGATACGCTGCGCCTCAGCCAGGTATTCCGCTGATTTTTGCTTGCTATCCTCTGCTCCTGTTCCTGCTTGTGCCTGCTGGCCATACAGGTCGCCCAGGGTAAACACATGCAGCCCCGTCATCGGATGGTTGGGGTTGTAGACACGTCGATAGAACTCCAGCATGCGCTCCCCGTATCCAATGGCTTCCTCCACGCTCCCACGCTCCATTTCGGCACTAAAAATCGTTGCTAGCGTCTGCAATCGTGCAACGCTGTGACAGTGAAGAATAGTACTCTGACGGTCTGCCAAGTTCTGTAGTGCATCGATGCATTGCTGCTGCTGTACAGCAAGGTCAGCCTCGCTGGTAACAGCACTGGTGGCATCGCTGACTTCCTTGAGTGCCTGCTCCACCTCTTGTTGGCGCTCCTCTGTCCACCGCTCTTGCGGAACACCATCAATATCTGCATCGAGATAAGCATCCAAACTTCCAGGTTCCTGAAGAGGTTGCGAGCAGCGCGGACAGCCGCAAGTAAAATGATATTTGCGTTGCAGACGTTGTTGTCTCTCGCGCCGTGGAAGCGCAATGTCGACTGTTAGATGCACAATAAACTGGTAAGTTCGACCATAGCTTGCGTAGGGTTTTCGACCCAACGTACCGTATGTCTGCGTGATCTCTTCGCCGGACTTGATGGGCTTCATCGCTCGGAACTCCATGTCAAGAGTTTTAGGAACAAACCTACAAGATGTCAACGTCAGCATGTCAAACCCACGAAATATCACTTCAAATATACCGTACGTACGTGACAGCGCAGTTGGGATCACAACTGTGGTTAATCATCGCACCGAGTGGGAAGCAGCCTGCGCCTAGCTCCAACAGCAGCTCGTCGCAAATGGAGAAGTTGTTGTTGCGAAAGCGACTTAACATGCGCGCCATCTCGTCCATCGAGAACGATTCTGCAGCAGCCACGCAAACGTTAAACGTATTCACAGTAGCCACACACCTTCCTCTTGCTATCCTTACCATCCACCAAGTTGATTTTCTGTGCCAGTGCCGCCAGGAGAAGAAGTTCTTGGTCGTCCATGTCCTCTTCGTACCACACGAGCTCTGAAGGCTGCAGTCCTTCGCCACCTTTACGTCTTAAGACGCGTCCCAGTAGCAGGACATCTGACACCTGGTCACTTCGCAGGCCGATTTGCGCCAATTGCGCCATACTCTTGCATTCCCTGCGATGGTCTGGCGCCCAGTCAGCCTGCTGACACGCCTTGGAGCCTGAGCACCAAGCAGCCAGCATGAATAACTTAAAGAGGAGAAATACACAGACGATCGACCGCTGGCGTACAGTAGAAGGCAGTGTGGCAGCGGCCGCAGCGGCTGAGCCGAACACCTGTGGCAAAGCACTTGTGACAGTGCGAGCCCCAGAGCTCGGGCAGCAGCACGGCGGCACTAGCGGAAGCACGAAGAGCCAGATCGCCCGCATTCAGATCAATCTGCGTCTCGACGCGTCGGCCACGGTCCCCTGAGACGTCCTCGGACGCGTCGACAGCGCTGTCGCTCACGATGCGCATCTTGGTGGTCATGAGAAATGGCTACCTTCACGTCGATTTGGATATCTCCAGATTTAGTTGGTGGTCTATCAATTTCCAGAATCAGAATTCAGATTTTGAAGACAGAAATACTCTGTGAGTCGCCGTCAAGTCGAGACTGACACCTTTGTCCAGAATTCGAGCAGTTCTTCGAAGTGGAACAGAGGATGATGCGTCGGCGCGGCAACGTGCTGCAGAACTGGCAATTTACCAGTGGTAACCACCAACGACCTGAGCAGCCGTCAGAACGAAGATTGCTTGAATGGCACCGGTGGACGACAGGAGAGGCGGGAATATTCCCAACAAAGACGATGATTTGGTAACAAATAATTACTACACGGTTACACCTACGAGACGACAAGAGGCGCTCCCGTTAATGCTGGTTTCTCCGACGCTTCACAACTCAGTAAATTTGCTCTGCGCCTAGATGGGCTTGTGCGTTATCGATATCTAAGACTTCGCAGATGACGGAGAACAGTGGCATCTAAACGAGTCAAGTGCAAGTACTGTACAGCTTGATACTAAAGAAGAATAGCTAATGTAAGGCGGCGTGACTTGCATGGAACCAAGGGCACTATCTGGGGCAAGGCCTTTCTGTTGAGACGGTGGCTTATCGCTCCATATCAACTGGAAGGTAGACACGTGGTCAGATGGGTCACATGCAGCAGGCCAAGCTCGTCTTTTGTCGCAACCAACCACTGCACTGCCGAATCTCAAGTACGCGGTGCTGCTCCTGATACGTTGGGGTCTCTGGTCAGTGGCTCAAATGGCTCTAAGCTCCGTTCACAAACCTCCGAGAAGACGAAAACTTCCGCACAAGACCTCTCATCCAGCTCTTACCTTGAAGTGATGGACTCAACAATATTGATGACGCTAGAAACGTCCCTGTGCTTTACTTGACGACGCCGAAGCCGATCTCCCAATCCTGGTGCAGGCACAACTCGGTGTTTCTATGCACCGGCTCATGTGTCTGCATCTTTGCCATCGTCGATATCCTCGACATGAGCACGATGTGGGATGAACAAGATGACAATCAAGTCGAAGACGACGACGAACGTCTGGCTGTAGTCGTGGAGCAGTGATGCACTTTTGCTTTCGCCTGCAATGGAGCTACCGGTATTGTTGACGAACTTGCTCATTTTATGTACACCACACTAAAATGTGCGCCACACGAAATGCTTCTTCCTTATTTGACAATTCTCTGGCGGAAGCCTCGTCCGCCCTCACAACAGTCGGCCCCGTGCGCCGTCGGCCTGCGACCTGCAGCGGGCATATTCTACTGAAACGCGGAAAACTATCATCTACGCAACCCCATATCTGTCCCAGGCGACTCCCGCGGCTTGTTCTCCTTTCTGGCCGCCGCAAGACAGAGGTAAGAAATCTGTAATTTACTGAGGGGGGCGTTCCCGCCCTCACGATTCTGGGGCCGCCAAACATCCAAAAGCTCTGAAATCAGGCCAACCTGGCCAGATGATCCCCGGAAAGCTGTCTTGGCAGCTTTTTGGGTTCATTTTACATGTTTGGAAGTGTCTCGTCAGGCCCGGTCAAAATATATTACCACTAGTGTGGTAATTTATTTTTTGGATCGGACGAGGAAGGAGTTATTGGTGTCATAGCAGGGAATATATGTTGCCAAGGGAACCAGGAAACTAACTGATGCTTTTGTGCTTGCTTTTTGTCGCGCTAGAGCCGAGGCCTTCCGGGCTAGTCTTTTCCTCACGGCTCAAGAGAGATTTCGCAGCTCAGAAGACCTTCAGTGAACCCAGACAATTGCCGCTACTGGAGAAGAGAACACGGCGGCTACTGAGAGCCGGCTCAGCAGACAATTTGATTAGCTCATGTCCGTTCCGCAGCAATCTATGCCCCCTGTTTCTCAGTATGCACCCAAGCCGGCAGTAGCTGATTCCACGTCCACCACTACAACCACACCTGCAAGCAACGTACGTTTTACACTTCTGACTGCTCGGATTAAGCGTGAGATGCGATCTTAATAGTGTTTTTGGGTAAACAGGCCATGAGTACTGGCACTTCCGCAGCCCCAGGGTCGCAAGCAGCGTCTACTACGAGCTCGAGCGCCATAACTGCAACAAGCACAAGCACCGCTACGCCTACCCCTGCTACTGTGGCCCCAACAGGGGGCGGGCCAGGAGCTACTACAGCGGATTGGAGAGATAAAGACGCCGATCGAGGCGCCAGACAGCAAATTGCGCGGATCATGTACGTAATTGTTGCGGTAGTTGAGTTGGATTTTGGTCGACTGAACGCTGGCCACTTACTTGCCTTACAGCTTGACGTTGATAATGAAGAGCGCGAACCGACCGACTTCTGCGAATTACAATCCCCGAGAGATCGCAAGGAGACTGGAGCACACGCTGTACATGGGAGCACCGTCGAAACAGGAGTACAGCAATGTGCAGACGCTGAAGGCGCGACTGCAGCAGGCGTTGGATAACTCGAGGAGGAGGCAAATGCAGCAACAGCAGGCGCGATTACAACAGCAACAGCTTCAAGCGTCGGGGGCAGGTGCCGATGCCGCGCAGCAGCAAGCCCAAGCTCAGCTTCTACAGCAGCGGCAACTCGCAATCCTTCAGCGACAACAACAGCAGCAAATGGCTGCGGCGCTGCACAACCAACGGGCCAATTTCCAGGCTGTTCCGTTCCCTGGAGCGTCAAGTGCAATGAACCAGCAGCCTTCCATTAGTCAGCCGCTGCAGATGCCAGTGGACATGTCACAAATGGCAGTGAAGACCCCTGGATCTATCGCAGCGGTGAGTACAGCCCCAATTACGACGGCTTCTTCGACTGCTAATGGAGCTGCGGTAGCAGGCACCTCAATTCTCGATGAGTTGGAGCGTGAGGCCGATGAAATGGCCAATGGAGTGAATGACCAGCCGTTGTCCATGCCGGAGACCGAGCTACAAGCTGCGACGACGCCCACGGGGACAGTAAACCCCAGTGCTGCCAATTTTGTGAACGTGACGCCCCCAACGGCGTCGCCAACGGTGGTCGGTAGTGCCGGGACAGGATCGTTCAACGCGATTCCATTGAGTATGCCGACTGACATCGGTGTTACAGCCTCGTCTGGAGGCCTGGTTCAGCCAACACCTTCAATGATCAGCGCTGCTTCGGCGGCTGCGACGGGAACCAACATGTACCACGGAATGAACCTGACAGGCCCACAGATTCAACAGATCCAGCAGATTCAGCAAATGCAGCAGCTCAGACGGATGCAGCAGCTTCAGCAGATCCAACAGCAGCAGTTAAACGGCAAAGTCAGCGCTGCTCAACTGCAGACTGGTGCGCCTGTCGTGACGACTCCGACGTCTGCGAACGCGAACGGTGCGAGTCCAGGAATGATCCCGATGAACGACGTGTCTATCGCTCAGAAGCGGGAGGAGCTTAAACGGCGTCTGATCCAGCTCAAGCACGCGCGGACATGCACGAGTGGAGAATGCGCGATCGACTACTGCAGTCGCACAAAGGCGCTGCTGTCCCACGTGTCGCGATGTGCCAATGCGCAGTGTACGACACTCGGCTGCAAGTCGACACGACAGCTGCTGTCGCACTTCCGCAAGTGCCGCAATCTGCAGTGTGACGTGTGTAGCGCTATTCGACCTCCGATGAACGAGAACGAGCAGCAGTTGGTGCTTCGACGGCAGCAGGAGCGGCTGTGTATGCTACGTCATGCCAGCACGTGTACAGCGCAGCAGTGTATCCTCCCGTGTTGCGCCGGCATGAAAGTTCTGTGGAAACACATCTGCGAGTGCCACCAACGTCAATGCCGAACGGACCACTGCATCTCGTCCCGTTACGTGCTTTCGCACTTCAAGCAGTGCAACAAGATGATTTGTGAGGTGTGCGGTCCTGTGCGCAAGGCCATCAAGGTGGTTGACTCCTGCAGAGGAAACTTTACGCAGCTCCAGCTAGCAGCGAGCCAATGTCCGGAAGGTGTGCGTGGCCTCATCAAGATTATGAACACGACCACAGCTGCAGGTTCGACACCTACTCCGCAGACAGCGGCGGGGGGTGACGCGGCTGTAAACGTCAAGACTGAAGGAGCGTCTGCGTCGGCTAGCCAGTCCAAGTCTACAAAGGAGACGACTGTGCTGGAGGAGATGAAGAAAAAGCCCCTGAAACTTCAAACCGAGAAGGAGAAAAAGCTGCGACGCAAGGAACAGGCGAAGATCGCGAAGGCTCGTGCCCAGGCAAAGGCAGCAGCGGCCGCGGCGGCTGCGCTTACGAGGCCTGTTGCTGCAGTGGCTCAACCTATCATCCACAACGGTCTTGTTGTTCGTGGCACCCAGGCGGAGCTTCGTGGCGACCACGTGTCGCATCAAGACATCTCGTTCCTGGACTCGATGTCGGGAGGTCAGCTGGATGAACACATCCGCTCGCTAAGGTTCAACTTCTGCGGCCACATTACGATCACCGAGCTGAAGAACCGACTGATGCCGCTGCTCCAGAAGCTGATGGACAGCGAGTACGGCTGGACGTTCAATAATCCAGTGGATCCTGTGCAGTGGAACATCCCCGACTACTTCGATATCATCAAGTGCCCGATGGACCTCGGTACGATCAAGAAGCGACTGGAAGCGGAGCACTACAACAGCGTGGAAGCGTTCGCTGGCGACGTACGACTGGTCTTTGAGAACTGCATCGCGTATAACAGCAGCACAAACAAGTTCAACATTGCGGCAAAGCAGCTACTGGCCTCGTTTAACAAGTCGTTGGCGTCGCTGAAGAATCAGCTGGAGAAGCAGCTCTTTAAGCGCTGCGAGCAACGTCGCGAGGAGATGTGTCAGCTGTGTGGTGGAGACTCGTTCAAGTTCGCACCCTGCATGCTCTTCTGTAGCGGTCCGTGTGCCGGTCGCATTCGTAGACATACGCACTACTACAGCGACCCTCGTGGAGAGCACCATTGGTGCTCGAGTTGCTACAAGCAGATGAAGGATGGTCCGATCGACCTGTCGCTCTTGCCCCAGCTGTCCAGTGCGGCTACGGAGGTGGCTCCTCCTCCTGGAGCGATCCCATTCGACGGCGTGTTGAAGAAATCGTCGCTGGTGAAGCGCAAGAACAGCGAGGTGGCCGAAGAACCGTGGGTGGAGTGCGACTCGTGCAAGTTGTGGTATCACCAGATTTGCGCGCTGTTCAACGAGCGCAACCACGCGATTTCTGGTGAGCAGGAGCCGTTCGTGTGCCCGATTTGCGTCAAGAAGCAACGCATTGCGGGCGTGAAGCCGTCGATGGACAACGGACTCAAGGCCAAGCGACTTCCCATCACACGTATGGCCAAGTTGATCGAGACGCGTGTGATGGAGGCCATCGAACAGGCAGGCAAGGACGAGGCTGTGCGCATGGGGAACATGGGCAATTCGGACAGCATCGGCTTCTCGAACGGCGTCAAGGAGTCTAGATCTGACACGCAGTATGGAATCACGATCCGCGAGGTGCTCAGTATTGATAAACAAGTCCAGGTGAAGCCCAGGATGGGCAAGTTGCTGGCAGGGAAGTATGAGAAGGCCAAGAAGGGTGATACCGTAGCAGCTGCAGGCCAGACGAAGTCACTGAAAAGACCCAGAGCGACGTCTGCTGCAGACAAGAAGGCCGCGTCGGCGTCAGCGTCTCTGTCATTGCAGCTGACGTATCGCTCGCGATGTATCTGCGTCTTCCAAGAACTGGATGGTGTCGACGTTCTCATCTTCACGCTGTACGTACAGGAATATGGACCCGACGCGCTGTCGCCCAACGCTGGACGTGTGTACGTGTCGTATCTGGACTCGGTCAATTACTTCCAGCCCAAGAAACTACGCACATTGATGCACCAGCAAGTGATGCTTGGCTTCCTTGAGGACTGCAAGAACCGCGGCTTCCACACGTGCCATATCTGGTCCTGTCCGCCGCTGAAAGGTGACGACTACATTTTCTTCTGCAAGCCAGAGAACCAGAAGATCCCAAAGTCGGCGCGACTGCGTGGATGGTACCAGAAGCTGCTGCAGCAAGCCAAACACGACGGACTGGTGGTCAACATTTCGAACTTGTACGCTGAATACTACATGAAGAAGAAAGCAGCCCACGAACTGCCCTACTTCGAGGGGGATTACTGGCCGCGACTAGCGGAAGATCTGATCAAGCAACTGGAAGAGAAAGACCACGGTAACCGAGCGAAGACCGGTGCTCCAGACGCGAGTCCTAGTGGGGCGAAGACGCCTGCGAATGGCTCCAAGACTCCCATCTCTCGATCTCCGTCGCCTGGTGAGGTCAACAATGAAAACGGCGCGGTGGATGGCGCAGAGGCCAAGCCGGTGTCGTCGAAGAAAGGAGCGATGACGCCGAGCTCTAAGAGCAAGAGCAAGCGCAGCAAGAAGAGCACGGCCACGGAACCGTCTGTGACGCGGAGCAGTGCGTCGAAGGCTCGCTCCAAGAAAAGCGAGAAGTCGTCGCGCTCCACGAGCAGCTCGAAGAACGTGGTCAACAACGACCCGCTCATGCAGAAGCTGAAAGGCATTCTGGAGCCTCAGAAGGAGGATTTCTTCGTCGTGGACTTGTATCCCAAGTGCCACAAGTGCGCAGTTCCTATCGTGCAGGACGGATATTGGGAGTTGAAGACGATCCCTCCACCTGCTTCGGTCAATAATCTACTGGAGGCTGCTAAGAAGTCGCGCTCGTCGTCATCCAGCTCGCGTAACTCGCCACCGCGTCACTATCGCTACTTTTACTGCAAATCGTGCTACGAGACCAACAAGACGCAGCTACTGCATCGTGTGGAGGTGTCTGGGAACTGCGCAAAGCGTGCGAAGGAGCTGAGTGAGCGTATCTTGCCGCTCAACGAGAAGGCGGCAGCGGCTGAGCTGGCGGAGCTGGATCTGCAAGAGATCAAGTTCGAAGCAGTTCTTGCGTTTGTCGATCCAAATGAAGACGCGGAAGACGAGACGAAGGTCAAGCAGGAAGGTGCAGAGGTGGAGAAGAAGAAACAAGCTGAAGTGAAGCCGGAAAAGGAGATCGGCAGTGAAGAGAAGGACGCTGAAGCTGGTGGCTCTGGCACAAAGCTAGCCGCTGGCGACAACGCTGACAGCAAGACTGCAGACGCCGCACCGGCCACTGAGAAGCCATCTACGTCGCCGTCTAGTGAGGAGAAAACAGGCAAGACGGCAGAACCTCAAGAGGCGAAGACGGAGACCAGTGTTGTGCAGAAGAAGGTGAAGCGCGTGATTGGCGATGATCTGGACGACGTGATCATGCCGTGCGAGATCTTCGACACGCGGGAGGCCTTCTTGCTGTACTGCCAGAACAACCACTGCCAGTTCGACCAGATCCGACGCGCCAAGCACTCGTCCATGATGGTGTTGTACCACTTGTTCAACCAGGGCACCACTGGCTTCACGTTCAGCTGCTCCAACTGCAAGACGACTTTGCTCAGTGGCAACCGATGGAACTGCTCGATCTGCCCCGTCTTCAATCTTTGCGATGCGTGTCACGACAAGACCAAGCACGAGCATCAGCTGCACTTGTTCAAGGTGGTGCCCATCCCGCGACCTGGAAACGAGGTCTCGAATGAAACTGTAAGCACCAAGGTCAAGGGTGTCGTGTCCAAGGCTGGAGGCGCAGCAGGACGCGCCATTAAGCGCGAAGCAGGCAGTTTCGATCTCAAGCGCGCGAAGCATGCCAAGGAGGCGGGAAAGACTACCAACTCTCGTAAGCGTAAGCTGCCTCAGGGCTCTCCAGTCACGACACCGACAGCTGCAGCGGTAAAGTCGGAGACACCGACACCCCCAGCGGACGGCTTATCCTCAGCGACGACAGCTAGCACTGCGACTACTGCAGCTCCGGCGGCTAATGGCTCGAATGGCAACGCAGCGGATGGGGACGCGGCCAAGAAGCGACGGATCCACAACATTGACCCGCAGCTTTTGCTCCAGTTGGAACACGCGAGCAGTTGTACGGTACCGAACTGCACGTTCTTCAACTGCAACCGCATGCAGGCAATGCTTAAACACGGCGCGATATGTGAGCAGCGACTGGCTGGCCCGTGCGTCTTGTGCAAGCGTATCATCGGTCTTCTCTCGGCGCATGCAAGGCAGTGTACCAAGGACTACGCGGCGTGCAAAGTCCCTCGCTGCGCCGACATCCGCCGCCATTTCCTCGCGCAGGTTCAGGCTCGGCAGCAGCAACTCCAGCGCGCACGACAGCAAGCTAATGGTGCTGCTGGTACGGATGGAACTGCTGCTGCCACGCCTGCAGCTACAGAGGAGAAGGATGCAGCGGCGTAGAGCGTATCGAGTGGCGTGATGTGTGTCGTGGAATTCGGAGTGACGTGTTGAAAACCTGCCAGTGCAAAGAAGAAGAGCCGAGTCGAGTAGGTAGGTATAGAAAAGTTTAGGAATAGGTAAGCGTGGCGCCGGCGTTGTCTGGGCGTCACTCTTTTTTTGCTAAGGAATGCGTGTTTTGTTCAGTCGCGCGCGTTGTTGGTCTGGTGAGCGCCATCTCGGAGCCTAACGCGGTGGGTGGAGTGAGCACTAGACGTTCGTCGTCGCTGCAACTTGACCAGAATGCTGCAGGCACGAGTGGATTGATCTTGCTGGTAGTGATCGGATCTAAGAGGTGGACGGATTCGTACACGGCGGCCACGAAGGCAGCACTCAAGCGAGCTGTGACTTCAGCGACCCCCAGAGCGTCTAAAGCGTCACGTGACTCGTCAGCTTTGGGGTTGTCATCGGGTTGGCTGCGTGGCGACCTGGAGCTGGGTGTATCGTTAAGCTTTACTCCCTGACAAAAGAGCTACAAATTCTGGGGTTAGTGCTTCAAGAAAAAAAAAACAGTTGCGTTGGTTATCGAACCTCTAGCGCACGCTTTAGCAGCCGCCGAATGAGTGCTGGGAGCTCTTTCAGTGCATCACTTACAGCCTCACGATCTACATGTACTGGTTGCTGTCGTGGTGATCGCGGCGACGTTGTTTGGGTTGTGGGGAATAACAAGGTCTGCCATGAAAATGGACATGTTGACGCAAGTTGAACTGCCAATTCTCGAAGTGTTGCTGAGGGAGCTTTAGTTCTAGCGTCGTGGTGAAGTCGACGAATTGCAAACTACGAGAAATGACGAGTTAGAGAACGGGGTTCTGGAGTGTGAGTGAGGAAGACGTACTCGATCGTGAATTTGGGGCATTGCACTGACAACTCGCTCCTCGAAAGGCACAAATTGCAACCCATTCGCTGCAATTGATACAACATGCAGAGCTCCTTCGTGACGAAGCTGCAACTCGCAACTTTTGCGAAAAAGTCAGTATTTTTGTGAGTGATACCAAGTTGTAGCGTGCTCACCTGGTCCACGCTAGACAAGATGAGCAAAATGCGTCAGCCTTTATGAACCGGATCACCCCCTTAGCTACTGGTACGTACGCGGCAAGGAAGTTACTCGTTGCGCTGGGAATTGGCCACGCTGCATGCGCTGAATATCTCGAGCTACAACGAACTCAACCCCCACACGTAATGCAGAGTCCGCAAGCTTTTCCGCGAGCGAGTAAGAGATCGCCATCTTAAACATCTACTGCAGCAACCTGTCTGTCCGTCACACTAAATTGTCGTGCCTGTCACGCTTTTCCGGACAAATCATTGGATAAAATAATTTAAATATTCCTACTGGCTGCCGAGCGCAGCGAAGGTGGCCACGATTGGCCTAAAAGCTGCCGAGCGCAGCGAGGCGGCCCAAATCGGCACCTTCTGCAACCCTGCGGGCCTTTGGGCCCGCCTGAGCCACAATCTGCCAGCCTATCATGCGAGTAGTGAAGCGAGCCGTAGCGAGCGAAACGGAGGCAAAACACAAGGAACGACATTCATTCTTTCCTGCCGCGTAGCGGCGGCACTCGGCTAGTCTTCACACAGCGCCAATACGTCTTTGACATCGATTTGCGCTGTCGATGGTGGCGATGAAGACATGAAGCGAATCGAACTCCACGGGCTGCCCATGATGCTAACTCGAAAATAAAAACAGAACTAGTGAAACTGCCGAACATCCCAGACCTACAACATTAACAAGCAGTGGCACTGCTTGTTAATGTTGCCAGTGGCCAGAATGCGCCGTAGACTCTACGGTAGACCTGTTGAATTGCACATGGTTCAAGGTCACACAGACACGAAACCAAGCGGAATTAATACATGTACAGGTATTAAAAGTCGATGGGATCACGCAATGTTACATGTAGGTGGTTACAGAGGAGAACTTTCATCGGCGATTGCCTTCCCTTTTTGATTCATCTTTTTGCACCTACTGTACTGGCAGAGCTGTTCCCGAAACTGCAAGATGGGCGGAATTCTTCGTGAGCCCGTCGTACTACGACGTGCATGCTACGACCAGATAACCAAATATCATATGATATTTTTGATAGTAATAGTACTATTTTCGATATTATATTTTAATATTAACTCATTTTTGCAAAAGTTAACATAATATTTTAATATTAGCTCGGAGAGCTGAAAAATATTAGATACTACATGATATTTTATGATATTTTCCCACTTAAGTACGTTTCTTGCCAGCTTACCTCTGTGAACCGAGCGGAGCCAAATAACTTTTTCGATCAGGTTCTAGAAAAGCAGTAGGCTTTAAGAATGACGATAGTATTTCACTGTGACACAGACAAAGGCGATCGAGATGGAAAACTGCAAACGCTTGCAGCTGTTAAACGTTGATAGAGCGAAATCAAGACATTTGTTCTTGTTCTCTACCGATCTCCTCGTCCACATCGTGCGTCTAATAAACCTGCTGCCTGTGGCGCTAGATTAATGCGCTCAGCAGTGCCAACACACGACGCCAACCTTGCCGTCACTCTCACAATTGTCCCTCCCTCAGGGTTGATTAGTAATACTTCAGCTAGTCGAGCGTTAACGACATCTGATTAGTGAATTAATCCCGATTACGCAATCTTGGAAAAATATAATATAGGATTAACTAATATTAAGTTGATATTTAATAATAGCATATTGTCTCAGAAGAAAATATTAGGTGATATTTCTTATATTAGCTGGTCTACAGGTGATATTTTCACAATATTAACTTCACCGATTTTGGAGTACCCTGGCTACGATGCTCCTTGAGCGATTAATCGAAAAAATCACAAAACATGTACATGTAATGACCTTCTTTCTTTGAAATTTCGGAGATATCAGACCGCAACGTTCGACTACTGTAGTTAATTGGCAAAGTCTCCGCAAAAGACTTCATGGTCGTGACTCTACTTTCGTGCTGGCAAGATCGTAGTTCATGGTGCCGAATCTCAACACCAAGTACGTGTACGTTCATGCCCATTTACTCTCCGTTATCATCTACATGCCGAATTGCAGTACATGTAGTCCTCAGCGATTCCGGCATGTACCCGGCGATGGATTGATCAGTCCTCCGACTGCAGCTGTCATTAGTTGAACCGTGTTGCCAGTCGACGTCCACATGATTGGTGCTCTGCACAAGCCGCTTTGTGTTCATCCGTATGATTGGTCTGGGGCACCCCTCCTCGCATCACAGCATCAGCACTGCCTAGTCTCCGTTGCATGACCGATCTTGTTTTGCCGTTGCGACGCCAGTTGTCGACTATCAGGTCGCTCTTTTGCGTCGGGTTATCCAGTCACGCCGGCGATTGTATATGACCGAAAAGACCTGTCTTGACGTGACCCCATCCTCCCCCAATACATGTACACCCGCTCATTTTCTATGTCAAACCGCTCGTGTCATTGAAGCGCTCTCTGTGACGGTTCACCGCCTCAGCGTAATGCCCAATTGAGTCATGATTGGCGCAAGGCATGCGCTTGATACAGAGGAGCTCAAAAGCAGTGTGCCATCACGCCTCAAGAGACCCGTGCCACTTCTTCCGCTGGTGTCTCCATCGTTGGCTGGCTGCGGGGTGGTCAGTGGTCACCGGCAACGATGAATGCCAACGAGATGCTACTGCTTGGTTAGCTTCGGAGACCATTTCGAAACTCGCCTCGTCCAGCACAGCACCACCAAAAAAGGAAAGTGGAAAGGAGACAATGGTCTTGTCCGAACACGCTTCATTCCTGTCGACACCTCGGTTGAGCAAGAAGGTGCAAGGTGACGATGACTATCTCGAGGCCAAGTCGCCCAACCCGATGGCCAAGTTTGAAGAAGGCGCTCTACGTGAGGGCCCGCCCCCGGACACGAAGAGCAAAACCTACATGGGCTTCCTGTTTCAGTACGTCGGTGCTGGAGTAATCTACAGCATCCTGTACAGCTTGACGTACCCTTTCTTAAACAACTTCCTGCGCATGTCTGGTGTGGCTACTGCATCGGCTACTGTGTTGATCGCGCTTCCCTGGTCTCTAAAGACGTTCTTCGGTATCATCACGGACTGCTACCCGATCTTCGGCTACCGTCGTCGTCCGTACATGGTCATCGGATGGATCGTGTGTGGTATCTGCTCCTTCGTAATGGCTGTTCTACCCGAAGGAGATCCGTACTACCCGGACAACGCGTGGGCGTCTCTGACAGAAGCGCAGCTCACACCCGAGCAGCTCTCCGAAATCAACTACGACGCCCCCAACAACGGCACCAAGTTCATTCTGCTCATGGTTGTCGCCAATTTGGGCATGGTCTTATCCTTCACGGCTTGTGGGGGTACCTTGGTAGAGCTCTCGCAACGGGAGGGCGAAAAGCGCCGTGGTGACCTGCAGACGATGATCTGGGTCGCTCGTCAAGCTGGTGGCGTCGTCGCTTCGGCTCTTGTGGGCTTTGGTCTCAACTCCGAGGAATACGGTGGCACTTTTGCCGGTTCGATCCGTGTGGGAGGTCTTATGGGCGTTTGCACAGTCACGTCGTTTCACGGCCATTGTGGCGTGGTTCTTCATCGAGGAGGAGCGAATGGAGCGCCGCTCGATGACTGTGGAGGTCGCCAAGCTGTTCGACTTGATCCAGTACCGCGTGGTGTACCAGGTGCTGGCGTATCAGTTCTTTGGCAACATGTTCTCCTACGTTAGTGTGACCGCTGCGACTCCGTTGCAGAGCGTTTGGCTCACTATTACGCCTGTGAACAGCAACGTCGCCACCATCATCTCGACGCTAATTTCTATGGCCTCGCTGTTAGCGGTGCGTCAGTGGGGACTCAACTGGAACTGGCGCTGGATGATTGTGATCACCCAGTTTGCGGTCGTGTTCGTGGACTGTTTCCCGACCTTCTTGACGATCTGGGATGTCGTCCGAAGCCAGTGGTTCTGGCTCGGTGTGCCACTGCTGGAGCAGGTGCCGTACAACATTGGCTTTGTCGTTTCGACCTACTGCATGGTCGAGGTCATGGAGGAGGGCAACGAAGCTGCTTTCTACGGTCTCGTTGTAGCCATTTCCAGTCTGGCGTCACCGTTTGCCACGGTTATCACCAAGAACATCGACGCCAACTTTGACATTTCCATGGCTGATCTCCAGCGTGACGACACCCGAGTGCGCGAACAGGTCACATACGCCTACCTGTGCTCGTACGCCTGCAAGCTCTTCTCGACGGTGTTTGTGCTGCTCATTCCGCATCAGAAAGCCGAGACGCAGGAGATGCGTCGCAACGGCGGCAAGAGCAAACTTGTGGGTATCATTGCGGTGATCTTGATAGCCTTTACGTATGTGTGGACCATCATGACCAACATCATGTCCATCTACCCCAGCACTGCTTGCCTTAAGATTGCTGGTGGCGACGGCTGCTAGAATACTTACACAGATTTATCGATGTCAGTGAAATATGGATCTTCATTTAAGTCAATACAAGTTTTTTCATTTTACTTATAGCGGACCACCAGCACGGACAGCGATTGCATCACATTGACTACATGCATTAGCTTAATACCACAGTAGTAGTAGTAAGACATGAGTCATCTCAATCTACAGCACCGCACTACCGGTTCTTGAGTGCGTACAAAATTACGTTACCAGGGCTGTCAGCAGTGTTCTAAACGCTGGCGTCTTTGCATGGATATCCTCAATTTATCAATGCTGCATTTGTTGGCGCAAATACAAGTGGATGTTCAAGTCGGCAACTGCACCATCGAGTGTTCTGATAATATCCGAGCGACAAACTTTTGAGACACCGCTCTGCTGCGAGATTTAAAAAATACTTCGTACGTGTGAAAGCGGGGAGAATGAAGGCTGCTGGCAAGGATAATTTCGAGCTGTGTTTCTGCTGCGGCTATATTGAATCAAGCAACGCATGTATTGTTAGACACCGCACCTGGAGTGAGTGGATTCTCAACGTACCGTGCTGTCCTCTTTACAACAGACACCATCCCACAATCCGAGCTTTCCATTGGTTCTCTTCCCTTTTCCTTTCAAATTCAGCTTGTCATCATAGGTTCACTTGGGAATCTGTTGGCGACTGATTTGCCGATTTGCCTTTTCCCCTCCTATAATAGCCGTTGGCAACTCATTTACCCACTTGTCGCCCAGGCGCCGCCACCTCTCAATAGAGGCCCGTTAAATCCGCCAAAAGATCGCTCGGGCATACATGGCGTACCGAGCCGACGGAGGCGCCCGCGCGCCCGTGCGGCGTCAGGCCGAGAGCAACTACTTGGACGTCGACCGCGAGCAGGCGCTGCGTCGCCTTGAGAGTTTCCACGCGTCCGCGCGCGGCCCATTCGAGCTTTTGCAGACCAAGTTCGGCTTCCAGCGCAGTAGTGTATCCAATCAGAAAGAGAACCTGGGCTGCTGGATCACCAATTACCAGATGCGCGTGCGCGCCGAGGCCCCGCAGGGCGCCGCTGAGAGCGTCGACTTTGTGACTCGCTCGGCGCTCACACGCGTGCACAAAAAGTTTTTCCGCAACTATGTGGCATGGTGCAAGTTTTTGCGTACGGCGCCGCGCTGCTCGGACCCGGAGAAGGAAAACACGTCGAGAATGGAGAAGGAGCTGGCGCTGTTTCTGCTACTTTGGGGCGAGGCCGGCAACTTGCGCTTCATGCCCGAGTGCATCTGTTTCCTGTACCACAATATGGCTGCAAAACTCGAGTTTTTGGCGACTTTGCCAGATGTGGACGATGGATTTTATCTAAACGAAATTGTGCGGCCAGTGTACAATGTAATTGCGCAAATGCGCTTGGCAACTGCCCCGAAAGGCCAGCGACCGTTCGACCACCAAGATACCACAAACTACGATGACGTCAACGAGTTTTTCTGGACCAATTTGTGTCTGGAATGTGACGAAATGAACGTGGCAAAGATGCTGGAGGTGCAAGACCACAAGACGTTCAAGGAGAAACGCAGCGTGTTCAACCCCGTGCTGGCGTTCTTCCGCGTCTGGTACTTTCTCGTCGTGGTGTTCCACACGATGGTCGTCATCTCGTACGTTTCCTACATGGCCGAGGGAGACGACAACGGCGGCTTGGGATTCTTCTTCCGAGTCTTCTCCAGTGACCAAACCAAGATTCGCGCACACGCTTTCTACACGATTTTCTGCACAGTAAGCGGCCTATTGGCCATGAAGGTGGTGATGCAGATCTGGCTGTTTGGGCTGCGTCTGTACAAGGACATGTGGATGGCTGTAGGCGTCTTCTGTCGCTTGTTCTGGCACACGTTGTTCTTCGCTCTGTTTATGGCAATCAACTTCTCTCCGGACGAGTCCGCGCTCTTCGGCTCCATGAGCAGCATGTTGCCAGGTGGAGGCGAGGCCGGCACGTACCTGTCCATGGGTCTAGTGTACATCGTTATCTACTGCATCCCAGTGCTAACAGCTGCGACGATCCGGGCGTTCTTCCCTAATATTATTTGGGGAATCCGCATGATTAATGCACTGGACGGCACCAGTCGACAGTATGTGGGACGCAACACGGCGCAACCGTGGGCCAACTACACGCAGTACAGTATGTCGTGGTACATGATCTTCTTCTGCAAGTTTCTGTTCGCGCTGCAGTTCATGATTCGTCCTCTGATGGCGCCGTCCCTCGAGATCTACGACCTTGTGGTGGACGACGACGGAATCTTCCAATCAGGACACAACATCATGTTCATCCTGGCCTTGTGGGCTCCTATCTTCGTCGTGTACATGTACGACACGCAGATTTGGTTCATTTTGTACCAATCGATCGTCGGGTTGGTCATGGGCAAGCGGATGCACCTCGGACACTACGTTGGCTTAGCTCAACTGAAGGTCGGCATGGCCGCAGCCCCCAAGTTGTTCGACGACAAGGTCGTGTCTCTGAGGACCAAAAAACCAAGTCCGGAAGCCGTCACGCCGGTGCCTGGAGGCGGCGAGGGTGAGTTGCGTCACCGCGACGTTGTGCGTCTTCGCTTTGCGATCATCTGGAACCAAGTGGTGGACAATTTCCGCCTGAACGACCTCCTAGATGACCGCGAGACGGTGATCCTGCAGTACCGTATCTTGAACAAGGGAGAGCGCATCCAGGAGCCGATTTTCCTATTGGCTGGCAAGTTGTCGAAGGCGATTGAAGTGGCAGCTAAAAGTCGCTCCAACAAGTGGGATATTGCCACGTTAGTCAAGAACATCGCGACGGCCGATGCGTTAGAAGGCATGAAGAACGGTATGGAGCTAGTCCGCGACATCTTTTACTTGTTATTAGGCGAGGAGGAAGAAAAGGGAGCGCTGAGTGTGTTGGAGTACATCTTCTCGTCTCCAGACGTCGTGAGCCTGCTGGACTTGACGTACTTGCCTCAGCTGTCGGACAATATGGTGGAGCTTCTCGCTGTGATCCTGGACATGCCAGAGGACATTGCGTCCATCGACGACTTGGCAACTGCGCCGGAAGAATTGCGTATGGAGCTGCACGTGCAAGTCTCTCAAGTTGTGGATCGTCTACGTGCCATCGCGTTGACAGTGGAGCTGATGCTGAACGACGACGCCGTCTCGCGTAAGCTGCACAACTGCCGCTTCCTCCAGACCACAGCCGACTTGGAGTTCCAGGCGCAACAGCTCATTTCTCTGTACAAGGCGGACGCTATGACAGAGACAGGATTGATCGCTGTGCACCCGTGTGAGGGACCTGCTACTCCGCCGCCACGTTTCAACCCGGACGACTTTATTTCCAGCTGCACACGCCTGTTCTTCCTGCTCCGATTGGACGTCGCCAGCTCGCTCCCTCGCTGTGAAGACGCTAAGCGTCGTATGGGCTTCTTCCTGCACTCGTTGTCGATGGAAATGCCGCGCGTGGACTCGATGGAAGCCATGCCGTCGTTCTCAGTCATGACGCCGTATTACTCGGAGACGGTGTTGTTCACTCTGGACGAACTGAACAACCCCGTGCACTCGAATCCGCTGTTTTCTGAGCTGGAGAAGAAGCAGAAAGCCAAGGGATGGACGGAGCTGACGATCATGAAGTATCTTATCACGTTCCACGCTGAAGAGTGGAGCAACTTTCTCGAGAGAATGGGCGCTGGTTCGCTCGAAGAAGCTCTAGATATCAACGCCCAAGAAGTGCGTCTATGGGCGTCTATGCGAGGCCAGACTCTAGCACGTACTGTGCACGGGATGATGCTGTACGAAGACGCCATCCGTCTTCTGCGCTGGCTCGAAGTGTACTCGCTTCGAGACATGAGTATCCAGGAGAAACTGGACGAGATGAACCGCATCTCAGCGCTCAAGTTCTCGTACATCACGGGCTGTCAGATCTACTCGAAACAAGTGGCCAATGGCGACCCTCGTGCAGCCGATATCGACTATCTGATGAAGAAATTCCCGAGTTGGCGAGTGAGTTTCGTGGATTCAATCACGGAGAAGGATGGAGACGACCGCTTCGACTGTGTATTGGTCAAATCTGAAGGCGGAGAGATCGTCGAAGTGTATCGTTACGAACTGCCTGGCAACCCCATCTTAGGCGAGGGAAAGCCCGAGAACCAGAACGTCGCGCTGCCCTTTACACGCGGAGAATACCTGCAAACCATCGATATGAACCAGGAACATTACCTCGAGGAGTGTCTGAAGATTCCCAACTTCCTGGCGACCGCGACACAAAGCGAAGAAGTGACTGTGATCGGCATGAAGGAGCACGTGTTCACCGGCCGTGCGTCGTCTCTAGCTCGCTTCATGACGCTCCAGGAACTGGTATTCGTGACGCTGACGCAGCGTGTTTTGGCCAAGCCGTTGCGCTCGCGTATGCACTACGGACACCCAGATGTGTTCGAGAAATCGTTCGTCGTAACCAGCGGCGGAGTGTCCAAGGCTAGTAAAGGCATCAACCTGTCGGAGGATGTCTTCAGTGGCTACAACGTCACTCTTCGTGGCGGTCTGGTGACCCACGTCGAGTTCATGCAGTGCGGCAAAGGCCGAGACGTGACGCTCAGTCAGATCAACGCGTTCGAAGCCAAACTATCCAACGGATGCGCCGAGAGTTGCTTGAGTCGTGAAGGACATCGCTTGACCAACTCGTTGGATTTCTCTCGACTCAACTCGATGTTTTACGGCCACTTCGGCTTCTACATCTGCAACGCACTCACGGTCTTCTGCGTCTACGTGTACGCGTACTGCAAGCTGTACGTGGCGACGCATTCCGAGGTGGAGACCACGGCCATCATGACGACTGGCAGTCTCAACTCGCTCGCTAGTGTCATGACGACGCAGTATCTTCTCCAGTTCGGTATGCTGACGACGCTGCCTTTATTCGCGACTTTATTCGTGGAGTTCGGGATCAAACAAGCGTCGCTCAAGGTGATCGAGTTGATCTCGACGCTAGGAATCGTGTTTTACGTGTTTCTAACCGGCACGAAGGCGCATTTCTACGACGTGGCGCTGATCCGTGGCGGCTCCAAGTATCGCGGCACGGGTCGTGGGTTCTCGATCACTCGTGACCCGATGGTGAATTTCTTTAAAGAGTACGGCGTCTCGCACTTCCGCAAGGCTGTCGAGTTGATCGGAGTGATGGTCTTGTTTGGGATCTACGGCTCCTTTGACATCGGCTCGGACGCGCTGGAAGAATACTGCGCTACTGCCGATTTTGACTGTGATAAAGACCCCGACCAGATCCCGGCGAACATCACGTCGCTTGCGGCGTTCAGCGAGAAATCCCAGAGCTACGGGATCGCGTCGTTCGCCGTGCTGTTCCTGGGTGCGTGCTGGCTGATGGCTCCGTTCGTCTTCAACACAGACGGTCTGGTGCTGCAGAAATCCAAGGTGGACATCGCCAATTGGTTCGCGTGGATGATGCGTTCGCAACACAAAGACGACGGGAACGAAGAAGAGACGGGCAAAAACGCCAGTAGCGCTGCGTTCCTGCACCCGAAAGACGGCTGGGACGACTGGTGGAAGTCTGACGTCGACTTGATGCTGCCTCTGGGTCCCATGGGGCGTCTCACGTACTGCATTCGTGAACTGCGTCACCCTCTGGCCATGTACTATGTCTTTATGACGGAGTTCGATCTCGCGTGGTTCGCTCTACTGTTCGGAGCCATGGGAGCCACATGGGTGGTGCTCTGGTTCGGTAACCGAGTGCACCACTGTGTGTCTAAGCATCGCAAGCTCAACTCGCTGTCTATCCAAGGTATCTTGTACATGGTGTCTGTGATTGGCGGTATTCTCTTGGTCCCGTTGATTCTTGGAGCTATGGGCGGCTGGTCCGTGCACAAATGCTTCACCTTCTCCATCGCCATGTTCTTAGGATTCAACTCGATCGTGCAGTACGCGCTGGCATTCAACGGTGTGTTTGGTTTGGAAGTGGCGATGTGGAGTCCCATGATGGCGTTGGGGTTCCTGATGGACATGATTGTGGGTCTGTTCTTAGTGATCCCGCTGTTCCTCCTGTCGCTGTTGCCGTTCATGCGTATTCTCCAAACGCGCGCGATGTACAACGGTGGATTCTCGCGTGCGTTGAGCTCTGGATCGGAAGTGGCGGCGTCGCTCGTTATCCTGCTTGGCGTGATGGGAGGATTCATCCACGGCTTCATGACGTCGTTCGTGTACACGCTGGGATACATCAACGACTCGAGCGAGAACTTTATGAACCGATCATTTTACTACTTCGTCATCAACAAGCTGCCGGACAAGGGATCGGAGATGCTGAACTACATGGAAAACGGCTACTTAAAGATGACGTGCGCTACAATGAGCATCGTCGCCGTGTTGTTGTCGCTACTGATCGGACGCGTGCTCGGCCGACGCGTCAACATGGCAATTGGTGGCAGTTTGATCTTCGTTTCGGTTGGTCTAAACTTCATCCCAAGCACGGCGATAATTATCGTATCTTGTGGCTTGGCGGCGATGGGAGCGGCTATGATGGCGATGAATTATCTGCTCTGGAGCTTTGAGATCTGTACGAAAGGCTGGCGTGGCAAGAGTGTGACGGTCTTCTTGATGGGCTCAATGATCGGCTGGTTCGTGCACTCGCTGCTGATGGCCAACACGAACGCCACGACCATCTCGGAGGACTGGGACAACAAACCCACTAACATGTGGCGCTTCCAGCCTTTGTTCGTGCAACCGGCGCTGATCCTCGCTTTCTTCGGCATCTTGTGGTTCGTGCCGGAAAGCCCCGTGTGGCTACTGGCACACAAGCAGGACGAGCCGGCGCGCGCCGTGCTCATCCGTCTGCGTCGACGGCAGAACGTGACGCCCGAGATGGACCTGATCAAGGCCGAGCTGGTCCAGAAGACCAGACAGAACCATCTCATGTTCCGCTTGGCTATCGTGTTCGCGCTCCAGGCGGTCTTCGGTCTCATTATGTCTCAGACGCTGTTGATCCGTCGTACGCTCCAGGTGAACGCGGACGACAGCGGCAATGCCAACAACTACTGGCAAGTGTACTTCGCGTTGTGCTGTGCTACGGGCTTCGCGTTCGGCAGCTTCTTGGTGGATAATGTGCGTCGCAAGACGATCTTGAAGGAATTTTTACCGTTCGTGGCGTTGATGGCGTTCACGTGCGGCATCATTGGTGCCGTGTCGGAGGCAGACGGCGGGCTGGTGCAGGCTCTGCTGTGCTTGCTGTACATCTCGGCCGGGTTGAGTCTCATGAGTGTGGCGTGGCTGGCTCCACTGGAAATGTTCCCGGCGTCGCGTCGTCCGCTGTACTGGACATTGTCGCTGTGCGTGTTCTACCTGGTGCAGGTCGTCGTGTACTTCCTGGACCCGTCGTTCGCACTCGCGCACTTCATTCTGTGCATTTGTTGCATCGTGCTCACGGCCGTGCTGTTCCTGTTCTGCGCCAGTACGAAACTGGGTGCAATTCAGACCAAGGCCGAGAAGAAATACCAGCGATCCATGCGCGAGTCGGCGCCCGAGATGGCAGAGTCCATGGACGTGCACGAAGACCAGGTGGACGACTTACACAAGCAACAGACGCGTATCGCGCAGACGTCCGCGATGAACCGGTCTGCCGGCGTCGCCGGCGCGTCGGCTGGCCAAGTCAACTTTGGCATTTCGGGAGTCAGTCGTGTAGTCGGATACAACGGCCCGCCGGCTAGTAGCGCGGCTTCACACGCGCGGAACAACGCGACGCAGTTCGGATTCAGCGGCGTGAATGTGGATGAGAACGACGAGTCTGTTCGTCAGACGACGTCCGAAGCTAGAGATCACTTCAGCTTCCACCGTCTTGAGAGTGGTGAGGAACCGGGTAACCCACGTATGCTCCGTTATGGACTGAGCACGGGGTTGAGCAGCGCTAACGAGAGCTCTCAGGCCTCGTCCACCGACATGTCTGCCGCGGCTGCTGAGCAGCAACATCTTGCCAAGCAACTGTCGTCCAGTTTCGACTTCGAGGCCGAGTTCGAGGAAGAGCACATTGATGATTTGCGTCAAGGACAGGTTAGCTACCCGCGCGGCCAACCTCGCTCCGTTTCGTTCCTGCAGTCACAGCGGTATCCTGACGCCGACGTGCACGCAGAGACCCAGTCCGTTCGGCTGTAGGGAAGGAAGGGGGGAACGTAGTCAGATAGTTGCAACGCTGCAAGTATGAAACCGCAGAATATATTTTTCGTTTTATTTAATTAATGTTGCCGGTTCGGTTGCTGATGGTGGTGCACAACCATTTTAATATCGGTCCTCGAGTCGCGAACACTTCAGTCCTGCAACCTGCCACGAAGAACAAGAATAATTGCCTCAATATTTGAGCTCTGGCTCTCGCTGCGCGACCAGCAAGCCAAATCTTTCACCATGGAACGATCAGAGATGTGGATAGGACAAGGGACAGTCAGTGGCTTCGATCTATGATCTCTTTGGTTGAGAGCGTTCTCCGTCACCGCGCTATCCAACGCGGCAGTCCATCGACAATCCACGTACATGCAGTGCTCAGCTCGAGACTACATCGTAGACGGTTGCTCCTGCTACAGAGCGACAAAACGGGCGTGGCCATCAATTCTTTAGGCAAGTTGACGTTTCTGGCAAAGCTTCCTTTTGCACCAGTCACCCATTTGTGCCTTTTTGAGCAAAGTTCGTGCGCCATTTTTCCACATGTTCAGAGCCAAACAAGACTCCACAACACCGCAACATCTGGCGGCACGACGTCCCGATAGCCAAACACAGTTTGTTGGCCAAACGGTAAAAACCCGCCCAGGCCTTCCGCACCCCAGATGGTGCCAGACTCTGGCCCAGAGTGCGAAGCCATTGTCGTTTCAGGGATAAGACAGGCGCTCCGCCTCTTTTCCATTCCCTGGAGGTAGTTTCTCATTTGCTGCATTGCTCCCCCTTGTCGTTCAGTTCATAGCAAAACACCATGAGTGTGTGCGGATCAACACTCTTGGCACTGAGTCTAGTGCTCTCGCTGTTTGGCACCAGCTCAGCCCACTGGGAGGCACTCGCCGCCAGCTCCACCGCGGAATGCTGCGATACATGCATCGGCAAGACGTCGGACGCTGTTTACAGCTACGACCCCGTGGTGTTTGCCCAGTGCACTAACGTGACCGGCGGCGTGTGCTGCTTCGACTGTGGCAGCATGGGCGACCCGTCGTACGGCGACACGATCTCGTACGCAGACGACGGAGTGACGGCCGTTGTCAAGACGGGGACGTACATTTCCTTCACGTGGAGTGGAGTTGAGAACGTCACATACATTTCCCTCAAGACCGGGCAAAAGAAGACCGTGACGCCTACGATTTCCGACTCAAAGGCAACTGTCAAGTCGGACACTTTTCTCATCTGTGCCAAGTCGGCAGGCACCATTTACTTCCGCGGATGGGGCAGTGACAGTTGCCGCGAGGCGTCTCAGGAACACTCGGTCACAGTCGAGGCCAGTGACTCAACCACCAACACTTGCAACGCCGACGACGTGGTGGTCCCCACGGTGTCCCCCGACTCGGGTTCCGTCGCTAACGACGACACCGTGGAGAGCTGCAACGCCCAGCGAGCGACTGTCCAGGTCGTGGACGGTACGCGGACGTGCGTCTGTGTGTCGGATTGGGCCAATCCGCCTGAATGCGACCAGTGGCCCGTGTGGAAATGGCTTGTCACGATTGGAGGTGGTGTTGCCGCCTTGTTTTCCATTATCATTTCCGTTCGTGCGTTCCTCGCTAGTCGTAAGAAGAAACAACAGGCGGAATTTAATGAGAATCTGGCGCAGGGGGGCGCCAAGAGCGACGTCGAGACGCTCCAGGTGACGCCAGAGCACGGGTATGCTGGAAACACCCAAGCCCCCTACAAATACGACCCCGAGGTGGACCGCAACCCCGGAGGCGCACGGAAGGCCGACGACCGCGAATTCACGCTGTGAGAGATTCGTAAAAAATAACGTTAGAGCGATGATGACTCGAGCGAAAACTAGTTAGCTTCCCCCTTCTCACCTTGGACGTGGCTCCTGCTCGGCTGACATTGCTGCGATGTCGATGAGGTGGAAAGGATACTGCTGTAGTGGCCGTGACAAAAACAGCAAGAGAGCCGGCCGAGGTGATCGTATGTGAAATATACCCCCGTTCCTTTTGAGCTCTTGTTGCGATTGACAAAGTGGCGGTACTGACGACGACCAGCGGCAATTTGAAACGATTGACAATGAGAAATGTCTCTCGGACGGGTGTCGTCGAACACTGAGATCTCATCGACTACACGCGTGACAGGTACAGGTATTGGAGTCCAACGTCCAATTTGGACGTAGTGTTCTGCATTCACCTGATACTAAAAGTATTTTCGCCAGCTTTTGTTTTAATTTGCAAGCAACTGCTCCCTAGAGAATTACGAGCCTCACGGCAACTTGCTGTCAGCAAGTGCTGACTCAAAACAGAATGCCGATCTGCGCTCATTTGCGAAACGTGTACAGTACAGTACAGATGTAAGCAAATCTTCGAAACTCTCGACAAGGATTCCTTGCTGCTGGTAGATTTTCGAGATGGAAAAGATCGTTTTTGAAATCGGTTTTCCAGACGAAGCAACGTCCAAAGTTTTACCAGGCACGAAGTGACCGAACAGGCTATTGCGATAGTCACCACCTTCGTATGTAGCGGTCACTATCGTCGTCACGACACACGTCCCGCCTCTTTTATTCTGTGTAGTTTCACATTCGTGCATTCGTGCACTAAAGGAACGAAGCTGCCATTCGCTTCACTTCGCAGTAAAAAGCTTCGTGAGTACAATGGCCCCGCACCGATCGATGATGTTGGCGCTGTATGTAGTCGTGTCGGCCTTAACTCTCGGTGTCACCAAAGGCCACTGGGAGGCAATCGCTGCCAGCTCCACGTCGGAATGTTGCGGCACGTGTATCGGTAAGACGACAAGCGCGGCGTATTCCTACGACCCCGTTATCTTTTCTCAATGTTCGAACGTGACCGGCGGCGTGTGCTGCTTCGACTGCGGTAGTTTGGGCGATCCGACGTACGGAGACACAGTCTCGTACGCTTCCGACGGCGTGACGGCGGTCGTCAAGGCCGGCACGTACATTTCCTTCACTTGGGGTGATGTGGCGAACGTCACGTACATTTCCCTCAAGACCGGGCAGAAGAAGACGGTGACGCCCACTGTTTCCGATGCGTCAGCGACCAAGAAGTCCAATACTTTCCTTATCTGTGCCAAGAGTGCAGGGACGATTTACTTTCGAGGGTGGGGCAGTGATACCTGCCGCGAGGCGTCTCAGGAACACGCGATCACGGTCGAGGCGGGTGACTCCAGTGCTAGCACGTGTGACGCCTCGGAAGCGAGTATTCTAGACACAGAGGCGTCGACTTCCAGCGCTAAAAGCTCTGGTTCCAGCTCGCTTCCAGCGGACGACACGGTGGACAGCTGCAACGCCCAGCGAGCGAGTATTCAGGTGGTCGATGGCACGCAGACTTGTGTCTGTGTTTCGGACTGGACGAACCCGCCAGAGTGCGATCAGTGGCCCGTGTGGAAATGGATCGTCACCATCGGAGGTGGTGTGGCTGCCTTGTTCTCGATCATTATTTCAGTGCGCGCACTTCTGGCAAGTATCAAGAAGAAGAAACAGGATGAAGAAGACAAGGACAACCTGGCCCGGATCACTCCTAAGAGCGACGTCGCGACGCTAGAGGTGACGCCAGATAGTGGCTACCACGGCAACTCGATGATGATCCCTACGGCGTACGACCCGCAGACCGACCGCACTTCTGGTGCTCCTCGGAAGCCTGTCGACAACGAGTTCACACTCTGAGGAAACAAAAGCCCTATCAAAACCAATAAAAGTTTTAAGCGTAACCAGGTCCTGCCGGGTTGACTCGCCCCCTCATAAGTTCTCGTGTGAGTCGCTTTGAATACATGTAGCGACTACGACCAGGTCGAACAACGCGCTCCATGCCATAATCGATGATACCTTTTTGATCATGTCGAGTATTTTTTTTTTACTTTCTTTATTTGTAAGATGTCGGACTGACGACATCTTGTGTGGATTGAAACAATTGGCAGTGCAATCGGCAACAGCGAGCCCAACGATGCCTTGAGCAAGTTGCCTTGAGTCAGTTCGAAAACTTGCAAAAGTCGAACTTAAGTTGCCTTGAGTCAGTTCGAAAACTTGCAAAAGTCGAATTAAAGAAAAAACTAAGGAAATACAGAACTGAATTACTCGTGGCTATCAGAGCGGAGCTCGCATTCGGAACACGACAAACTCCTCATGACCAGGAAGCGAACGAGCTGTAAGACCGACGACATGCACCTCACATGCTTCAATGCAAGCAATCGACTAATTGCAGATTGTGAATATCAGATACTCGAGATTGAAGTGATACATTCCCGAGCACGTTGCCGTCCAAGAATTTGCAGGTCGTCGACTCTCACAGCTCACACATCACGACGTGATGTGTACGTGATTCACGTGCCAAACCTTCGGGAAAGGCAGTCGATAATCTGCCATCACCCTAACAGCCGACACCATCGTCGTTTCGAGACGCCACCTCCGCCTCTTTATATTCCTGTCGTAGTAGTTTTGTGCTCATGAAGCTCGTACACACGACTGCAGCGTTTGTAACTGCGCCCGTGCGTCATTTCTCTACTTGCAACGCAAGCAGCAGGATGAACCGCCGGTCGGCGGTATTTGCGCTCGTTCTTGTCGTCTCGGTAATTGCACTCGATGTGATTCAAGCCAACTTGGCCGCCAGTTCCTCCTCCGAGTGCTGCAACACTTGCATCGGCAAGACCTCGTCCGCCCCCTACAGCTACGACCCCGTTGTCTTCAATGACTGCACCAAGGTAACAGGAGGTGTCTGCTGCTTCGACTGTGGTAGCCTGGGCGACCCAGCCTATGGTGACAGCGTCTCATACGGAGACGACGGCGTGACGGCCGTCGTGAAGGCTGGATCCTACATTTCGTTCACGTGGAGTGGCGTGGAGAACGTCACGTACGTGTCTCTCAAGACCGGCCAGAAGAAAACGGTGACGCCTTCGAGCTCGGATACGGCAGCGGAGAAGAAGTCCGACACGTTCTTGATCTGCGCAAAGGCTGCCGGCACCATTTACTTTCGAGGGTGGGGCAGTGACGCGTGTCGCGAGGCGTCTCCGGAGCACGTGGTGACTGTGGAGGCGGGCGATTCCGGCGACAATACGTGCAATGCGAACGACGTAAAGATACCGACTTCGGCTCCGAGTTCTAGTAAGACTTCGGGCTCCAGCTCGCTCCCTGCGGATGAGACGGTGGACAGCTGTAACGACCAGCGAGCGAGTGTGCAGGTGGTCGATGGCACGCGGACTTGTGTGTGCGTGTCGGACTGGACGAACCCTCCCGAATGTGACCGGTGGCCTGTGTGGAAGTGGCTCGTGACGATCGGCGGTGCTCTTGCGACAGTGTTTTCAATTGCGCTCTCGGTGCGAGCATTCGTGCAGAGTAAAAAGAAGAAACAAGAAGAGGAAGAGAATTATCAGATGAACCTGTCCACGAAGAAACATGAAGAGGACTATAAAGAGAATCTGGCTCCGATGGGAACCAAAAGCGATGTCGGACCGCTGGATTTGACGCCCGAGACTGGGTACCACGGCGCTGCTATGACTCCGTCCAAGGAGGTGCAGCGGACTCCTGGAGGCACGCGGAAACCAGATGAACGCTTATTTTCGCTATGATCAGAGTGTTATAATAAATGAATTTATTGTACCGCGAGGATCGGTGCAACCGGAGGATTGCTCGTTTCCCTCATTCAATGAACCGTCCTGACTTATCAGCTGATATCCGGCTCTGGAAATTGATACAGAAGTACCCCTGAATAAGCGTACGGGGTCGTCTGATTAATTTGCAAAGGGAATTCACGGCGATCTCTTGATCTGTAAAAACCGTCCCCAGCCCATCTAATCGGATATAACAGGGTATACGAAGTACAGGCTACACTTATTCAGGGGGACTTCTGTACTGTAAAACCTGACTTCGCTCAGCGTGACAAATAATTAATCGGACATGTACCGTACCGTACGAATGGGATCTTGTTTAAAACAAATCAACTACTACACAATACGCTTCGTCTTAGAGCAGGACGGCGGCAACGACACTTGCGATGGCAACCATAATCGTTGTAGCAGGCATCATCGTTGGCACCGCCGAGTTCGAGTTCGATGCCGAAGACGTCGAGGATTCTGATCGTAGCGAAGACGCAGTCGATCCACCAGCAGACGAATCACCAACATCCACGGATGACGTTCCAGATGACGAGCTATCCAGAGAAGACGCGGTACTCGGCGAGTTGTCCGTCAGGGATGAGGACGAGGCGTCTGCGCCACTGGTGAAGGAACTTGAAGAATTGTTCGAGTTTGCCCCAGCAGGATCGTTATTTGATCCCGTGGCAGTACCAACGGCACTTGCAGTCGATTCCGTGGTGGCCGACCCCAAGGTATCCGATCCAGTCGGTCCTGCGGTACCATTCGACGTAATGGTAACCATTCCCGATACGTTGGTTGATGCACCAGTCGTTGCTACACCCGACGCGTCAGTGGTAGCTGGTCCGGATGCAGTGGACGTGGTGGCACCCGTTGGAGCCGTTCCTGACGCGTTCGCCGTGGCTGACCCAGTCGGGATACTCGTAGCGGAGCCAGTCGTAGTTGCACCCTCTGCGGGTCCAGACGAAGGCGAACTGGACGAAGTGGCCGAGCCAGGGCAAACCATCGCTTCACCGCTGCACATTTGGCCACTCGAGCAGTCGCTCAACGTGTACTGGCAGCTTGTCGAGCACAGGTGAGCAGTAGCTGACGTGTCCGTGGTGCACGTGCAATTTTGGCCACATTCCGACATGCTGTTACCGTCACCAACGCGGTTGCACAGAGCGTTGCAGTCTTTGGACGTTGAGACTCCGCCATTGACAGTGCAGACGCGACGGGCGCAATTGCCTTGCGTGGACTGAAGGAAGCGCCCAGCTGAGCCCTCGACAGAAATCGCAGCCACCATCAGCAGACTCACAAAAACTGGAATGGAGCGAACCATGATGACAAGGGTTGGTGACGGTCTTGGCTCTGAGAGGGAAGCTGGATGTCAACTCCGATAGGAATTGGAAAGTGAGGAGTGCACTCTTGAAAGTCCCGGGGAGATGAGCGGCAGCGAGAGAGAGGATCGTCTCTCTCGGACGGCCGGGTCTCGTTGTAAGTTCCTCTGAATCTTGTCCTCATTGTGAGCACATGTGGTATCCTATGCCTCTTTGATCAGATAATGAAATATGGCGTCGTACGGTACGAGTCGTACCAGATGTGTTTGATTGTCGTGGTTATCTTCTTTACCATACAAAATAGAAGCACACTGTGGTGCAGTTCCATCTCTAAGCCAATAGAAATGTTCATTGAAGTTGAAGAGAAAGGGCACGATGCACTAAAACGAGCTGCAAAGTTTATTGGGTTGTCGGTATCGCGCCGATTGAGCTGCTGAAACCCAATTCTTACGTTGTTGAAAGCTTAAGAGGGGCCGATGTCTTCTCCCAATGCTATTTCCTCAGGTCTACGAGCGATACCATATGTTGCTCAAAACGACCGGGTTTTGGACTTAAAAAAACCCGTAACTTCTTTTCGTTTGATTCGCAAACATGACCAATCAATGAATTCCAGGTAGGTACGTTGTGTAGCGTTGGTGTAACGGGATACGTAGCCCTAAGTGTACCCTGGTTACATGAAGTGTGACACTTCACACTTCAGGTGTATGACACGTCATTCACCGGGATATTTGGTACAAGGTACCAAGGTCGTTCAAAGCCAACCATTGGGCAAACGACATTGCATTTCTATAGGTAACTTATAGTTTGTATTAAACCCAAACTTAACCTACCTATAAATATACTCAGTATTACGATCTACCTTATTTAGGTCACTTCGCTCCCTTTAATTAAAGAGGGGACCTGTGAACTGCCGTTCACTGAGAGTTTGTATACTCTTGGAAGATAACTTCCTCTAGCGCAAGGTGCTGTGTGACCCCGTCACACTTGGTAGCACTAGTAGTCAATCCACGCCACCGCGGGTAGACTACCTGAACCTGAACGACTCTCAGTTCGAGTCGGTTCGGAAGATGGCAGGCATCTTCGGGATGGAGGCCCTGCAGAGCCTGGTGGTGTTAACACCGGCTGAGCAGCTCGAGCGCGTCAATGCATTCGACGCGTACGAGCAGGGCCTCATCGCGCATGTGCGGGAGAACCTGCAGGCTCCGGCGGCGGAAGCAAATCCGCCTCACCCGAAGCCAATCCGGCTGAAGGTTAAGCCGTATGAAGGGAAGGAAGGCGAGAACCTTCACTTCTGGGTCCGAGAAGTAGAGCTCGCGATGGACGCGGCTCTGATCTCGACCGAGCAACTGCGTGTTGCTTTTGCACTCTCCAACCTTAGCGGCCGTGCTAAGAGTTGGGTGTACACACGGGAAGCAACATCCCCTGGATGTTTCACATCCTGGGCTCAGCTGTGCGAGCAGCTCCGAGCCGCGTTCCTCCCGGCGAACTACGAGTACCGCCAGCGTTCGCGCTTCCTCTCGTGTAAGCAAGGGAGGCGCGACTGCACGAGTATGTGCAAGAGATACGGATGCTCACGGCGTCCCTAGTGGGAAACCTACTCAACGAACACATCAAGATGACTGTGTTCATGGACGGCCTTCGAGTGGGCCCCGCACGCACTCAGCTGTTCCGGGTGCAGTCAAGCACCCTTGAAGAGGCGATTCAAGTGGCTCTTCAAGAAGAGTACAGCCATCGCCAGGCGCGTACGCCGGCCTCAGCGTGGTTTGGGAGTTCCTTGTCGGCTCCCGGTCGAACAAGCCCCAACGGACCAGTTCCCATGGAGCTCGGGTCCGCCGAACAGCGTGACATCCGCTGCTTCGGCTGTGGGAAGATGGGCCACTTCAAGCGCGACTGTCCCGCGGAAAGACTCCGCAGACGGTCCTTCCCCAAGCCCGTCCTCAAGGGTCGCTGGCAGAAGCCAGGATCCCGGGGACAGGGGAACGCCGGGAACCAGTAGGGGCGGGGCGCCCTACTGGGGAAGAACTAAGTCTTCGTGATGGGTGCGCGGGTGGCGCGTACCACGGGGACTTAGCCCCTGAGAGTCTTCGCACTCTCGAATCGGCGAAGAGCAGCGGTGGGTTGCTCGTAGTACACGGATGTGTACGGGGATACGATCACCCCTTTAAAATCTTGATTGACTCTGGGGCGTCGAAGAATTTCGCACGCCGCTAGACGGTTGCTCGTAACAGCAACAAGTTGTCCGATGCTTTGAGAGAAAGCAAGGGCAACGGGACGGTGTCAGTGCGACTGGCCGACGGGAAGGTCGTCACTGTCCCCAACGTCCAAGTGGATCTGGCCGTTAAGTTTGAAGACTTTGACAGCCTCAAACAGCTCACTGTTCTCGATATGGATCCATATGATATTATACTGGGCATGCTCTGGCTTGAGAAGCACGAGCTCTGGATCGACTGGCGAGGCAAGGCAATCGGTGCCAGCCGCCCTGCGCAGTCCGACAGAGCATTGGTGAGTCATGTTCCCACCTCTGTCAGGACCCGGGGCGCCCGCAAGGGCTGCCATGGTACCAAAGCATCCGGCAGATGCTTGGGAGTCGTCGACGGATATGACGACTCCGAGGATGTTTTGCTGGTGGCCGCGCTCAGAAGAGGCGCTGGTCAAGTGGGTAACTTAGGTCCACAGGCGGGTAACTTAGTTCCGCAGACAGCTGCAGCTGTCATGAACACTGAGAACAGCGTGTTCAGAGTGGGTAATAGAGTTCCACTCACGGTCGCCCAGACCATAACCGAAGAGGAAGACGTCGGATACGCTTCCTGTGTGGGTAACACAGTGCCACACGCGGTCGCCCAGACCTTAACTGAAGAGGAAGGCGTCGAACACGCTTCCTGTGTGGGTACCACAGTACCACACGAGGCCACGAGTGCCTCGGATGTCGTAGCGCCGACATCCCTAGACGTGGGCAGCAAAGCCCGACGTCACGGTCGCCGTCGTCAACGACGCCGCCGCCGCCTCAAGTCGGATCCGAACTTCGTTCCGATCGACGTCGCTTCAAGCGACTCGGAGTCCAGGGCCCGGGCTCCTCCGACAAGGCCAGTGGAAGCGTGTTATCACATCTTCGATGACAACACCGGTTTACCCGTCAAGGCATCTGGTGTCCACTTGGAACCGTTGCCAGATGTTGCAGAGATACTGCACCTCGAGGAAATGACGGCTGAGTCTTTCCTGACCAACCTCAAGGCTGGAGAGATTGCTGAGATGGTCCTCACGAGAGCTGAGACCACTCAGGAGGAGCTGAACTCCTCCTCTGTCTTGGACGAGAACGTCCTGGAAGACATGAACAAGCAGCGTCAGACGCGCTTGGATTCTGAGATTCTCAAGAACCCCAAGGATCCGGTGTATCCTTTGGTGACGGAGTATGCGGACGTGGTGAGCAAACACCCACCGACCCAACTCCCACCGGATCGAGGCGTACGGCACGAGATTGCTCTCGTGCCCGGCACAAAGTATTGTGTCACGAGGCAGTGGCCTCTCCCGCGCGAACAGTGCGAGGTCATTCATGCCTTCTTCGCCGCGAAAGCGAAGGCAGGCATGGTGCGGGAGTCGAAATCCCCGCACTCGACGCCGACTTTCTGCGTTCGTAAGCCGAACGGAAAGTAGCGTCTG